GATATTTCCGACGGTTTGGCTGATTATGGTTTTCGAATATTATTTAAAGGTTCTTACGTCATAGCGCGAAGAAATGATGATAAATAAATATTAACATTAGAAATGTCTGTTAATGAACATAGTTCGTTCAAGTATGCGCACCAACGCAAAATATGCATATAAGCAACGAAGGAGTATTTTTATCTTGGGTTGAGTTGTTTGAATGCTGTTATCCAAATTTGTGGGAGCTTGAGAGTTGGGGAGTTGCATGGTATAGTAGTAGAAATAAAGAGTGTCTCCCAAATAAATAGCTCCTTTGGTTCGTTGCAGCGTTTTAGTAATTTTGTTTCGTTCCATAGAGGCTGGTAGTTATGGTCTAGTACTCTCTTTGCTAATTCCGTGACTGGCCTATTATTTTTGATGTCTTCTTGATGTTTGCGGATTCGTGAACTTAATTTTCTAGCAGTAGTTCCTATATAATTAATCTCTTCACCAGTTAGTGTGTGCTTTAGCAGGATTTGGTAGATACCGGATTTTTCATTCAACTGGTACTTATCCCTATCGTTACATAGTAGTCTTCTTAGATTTGGTTGCGGTGTAATTGGTTAGATTTGGTTTGCGGTGTAATTTTTCAACTTTTAGAGAGAGGAAAAACCTCTCTCTAAAAGTTGAAAAATTTCCGGATCGGGAATTCCACTCCTGTAACACCACTGCACGTAAGTGTTCTAATAATAGTATACGTCGGCGTGAAGTGCAAACTTATTAGATGTTATATGTTTTTATCAAAGCAAGAATTGGCATTTAGAGAGCATATGGAATATATTGGATTTAATAACAGAGGTAATTATATTAAACTTGTTTATTAAGTACGTCAGATAAATAATCTATTAAAAATACATTTAAAGAAAGAATTAACTGATTGCCCCTGGAAGTCGGCTTCTTATAGAAACACAGCTTCCCTATCATCAAATGTCACGGCATGCCCCTGGTTCATTTAAACACTGAAAAATATAAGAGGGATGTTTAAAGATACATACTTTCCACTACACATTCCAGTTACCCCACTGGTTAATTCTGGTTTTTCATCTCCCAAACACCAGTTGATACTGTGCGGCTTCGTCTTTTCTGTCTCCCGGGATGGTTTCACACTAACTTGACCCAGATGAGGGTGCATTAGAGTGTATCCTTCAGGGAGAAGATCATTCAGATGGGGATCTCCCATTAAACGACAGCACATTGCTCTGGAAAGGTGACCGTGGTGATACAAGTTCCCTACAAATAAAAATAATAAATGAAACTTAATATACAAACTGTAATGACAATATCAATTAATACATAATCTGAAATGTTTGTAAAAAATTTCCTATCAGGGGTAGACAAAAGTTTCTGTCACTACCATTATACAACATTTTGGTGGTCTAATGGGCAAAGCCACAGGCAGATAGGCAAAAGGAGTTTGCAGATAAGGAGCTTGAAGTGCAGTTGTAAGAGGATGCCACATAAATGATCACATAAATGGCAAAAAAATTTGAAGTGGATCAATCAACAGTCAAGAAAATCCAGAAGATTAGTAAGTGGATCATCATATTGGGCAATGATTGGGTGTATGCATGTTGTCGCTACAGCAGTTTCAATGAAAGAATTCTTATGGAAAGTGATCATCAGGGATTAAAAATGGATCTATTAAGGCAACATAGTATGCAAATGATCCTGGATCAATACAGGCCAGCCATCAACATCCACTGCAAAACAGGATATAAACAAAAAAAAAAAAAATGTGTGTGTGAGAATCAGGATTTTCTTAGTTAATTAGCATGGAAAATTGGGAAATATATTTAGTTTTTTTCGAATTGTTTACCAAAAAGGAAGAAACATTTGACACTTTCTACAAAAGAAAGAAATCAACTTCCTTCCCCACAAAACCTCATCTACAATTTTGACAACAATCTGGGTGCTAACCCTTGTGCACATCCCTGCACATCCTGTTAGCAACTTTAAATCCTTTAATGCTATTGGTCAGAAATTTCTATAAAAGGAGCAATTTTCCCACCATTCCAGGCAGTCATTAGAAATATGACATGGCCATAGGAGACACTCAATCTACGAAAGAAGAGATATGCCATACAGATGACAGTCATCCAAAGAATAGATTGCCATATGAGATGCAGTCAACGTAAGTCCGAATTTGCCACATAGACAACAGGCTGTCAACAGAAATATGACATTGCCATAGGATAAGCCAGTCAATGATCCCCAAGAACCTTCCGTAAGAATAGAGTTCTCTTGCAGATTCTCATTTGTGCTTTCTCTCATTCCTCTTTTGTCTGAGAGCTTCACCAAGGAACTCCATCATGTAGAAGAACCTTCTGGACCATCAGTCAAGGTAGTAAGTTTAAATTGATGTAAACTCTCTCTCTTGGTTTAATAGTATACTCTCAATTTAGAAGTGTAACTCCAGTCAGACTCAATTACGTTCAGTTATATTTGTATTTTGAATTGTGTATCTTGTTGATTTAGTTTATTTAGTAAATCTTTGTTATTAGTTAAATTTGGTTACTCTCTCAATTAACTAACTCTGGACAATTTCACCCTGCTACTTTGATTTACCTGCGACTCTCCCCACTCATCAACGTATCAGCTCTCCTAATTAAACTATATCCTAAACTCGTGATAGGGTGCGAACCTCGTAACTATCTGGTGTCAGCCCTGATGGTCAAACGAGTCGAAAGATTTGGGCGACATATCAATTTTTTGTCCATCCTTAGACAAGAGTGAGCAGGCCTCAACATCCCAATGACAAGATGGTTTAGCCCTCAGCGTGATCTCACATATGTGTGATGAGATATGCATGGAGTATTGTATTTTGAGCTTGTTACAACCCAACAAAACAATTACTGCACAACAGTACAGCAATCAGTTGAGGAAACTAAATGTCAAAATCAAGCAAAAACACTCATGCAGGTAAAAGATGCTGACCAGTCATCCTGTTACACAACAATGCAGACAAGATGTCAGTGCCACTACAGGAGCAACCCTTGATCAGTTAAAGAAAGAAATTTTACTACATCCAGCTTATTCCCTGGATATTGCTTCATCAGACTTTCATCTGTTTTGCTCTTTGCCAACCTTTCTGACCTCATAAACCACAAAACTCACAATTTTGAATCTTGTGGATTGTCATCATCATTTTTTTTAAATGATACAAACATCTATAGAATAATAATCGTAAAAGTTCCATTTTACTTTAATATTAATATTTAATATGTAATTAACTTGTTTAATTATAACAAATCAGTGTGAAGTTTGTTGTTGCTTGTTTGAAATAACTATGATTCTTGGCTCTTCCACAAAGGACAATATTGCACTCACAGCATTATTTATTAATGATTTATTGACATTGTTATTTATTGATAACAGTCATTTCATGTTTGATTTTAGATTCAAATAAAAAACTCGCAATGAGTAAAAAAAAGCAAGCAAGTATTTTGCATTTCTTTTGTAATACTTTGCATAACCTTGAGTTGATCAACATCCAAGTTTCTCCATGAACCACTAAAGTTTTCTCACAGATCACCAGTTGGCCATCACTGCTCTAAGCAACATTCCCTAGCCCAACAATGATTCACCACACTTACAAATATTGAAAATTTCATCTCTGCATTCTTTAACCTCAAAATTCAAGTCCTTCTATCACAGGGGCATTCATCTGTTGCCTGAAAAATGGCAAAAGGTCATTGATGCAAACGGCCAATATTTTCATGAATAAATGCGTTCTGGTTTCCTGATACTTCATGATCCTTTCCACTCTCATTTATCCTTCTGATAGAAAAAACTTTTGCATACCCAATATTTATAGTAAAACTACAAAGAAAGACATTCATAGTAATGTATTATTACATACCTAGAGTAATAGAGCTTAGGTAAATTGGTTGCAGAAAATGACTCAGTAGTGCACCTTGTAAACCAAGAACATTCCAACGAGCTATTTTGTCACTACATGACATAGTCCGTAACCTTTCACCAGTCAGAATAGCATCCCAGGTCTGAAACCTGTGCTGTATATCAATAGGAATGGTACCTTCACCTATATTTTTAAAAAATTAAGTTTTTTATTGCTATTTCCGACCCCCCTGACTTAATTAAACGTATACAGTAGATCCCCCTATAAGACGGTAGATACGTTCCGTTCTTTATGAATCCGATTTTGTAGGAATCACAGCCAATCACAGCCCGACACGTGTGAAGTTTACGGACTACGGCTGTTTGAAAGGTTTTCTTCCATAAAATTAATCGATTCTAGACTAATCCGACTCAACATTTCCAAAATACGTATATTTTTTTGGGAAATAATCCGTATAAGCTACGCTATAAACAAAAAATTGTAGGATTATTTACGAGTGTGCACCATTCGACATCACTATTGCTCAAGCTTGTTTTCGTCGCGGAACAACTCAGCAAACCGTGGCCGCGATTTCTGATGTTATTTTTCTGCGAAAACTTCGCTGAACTTTGGAGACATCATTAATATGAATAATTTTTATCGCCGTTGAATAAGAAATGTTTCTTTCACAAGAAATGTATAAAATTACAGTACTGTATTAGACTTACGGTACCTAATTTACATACTGTACAGACGATAGTTCGCCTAAACTCTCCGTAGCGTGGCGCCAGGCGGCGGAAAGCATATATATAATCATAATAAAGTTACAATAAATTAAAAGTT